TGAGACTTCCAAAGAGTTGACCTTTACTAAATATCATAAGCAATGTGGATATTAACAAAATAATCATAATGATAACAAAAAAACCACATTAGTCATTGCCTTTAACCATATACAGTTATGCAAGTGGTTCTCTGATTATACCCTAGGAACTACATAAATTAGAGAGACTTTTTCCTTTAGGTGTCACCCTGCCTGTGACTTCCTCTCAGAAGACTTTCCTTCCTTTACTTTGTAAGATGGCTACGTCCCACTATGCGTTCCCATAGCACCCTGTTACAGAGTTGTCACATCTTAGATGGGCGCTGGTAGCTTACCACTTGCAATCCTATCTACTCAGAAGGCTGAAATCTGAGGATCCAGGTTCAAAACCAGCCCAGAAGAAAGCTCTGTGAGACTCTTATCTCCAATTAAACAGCAAAATAAACATAAGGAAACAGAAGTTGTGGCTCAAATGGCAGAGTACCAGCTTTGATCAAAATCTAAAGGAGTGTGTCCTGTCCCTGAGTTCATGCCCCAGCACCAACACACCCTTGCTTGCTTGCTTCATTAACTATTTTCTCCACTAGAGTACATGGTCTATGAATACAAATGTCACATCAATTTTGGTCACTGTTATATTCTCAGGGGTCTGAAAAATACAAATGATGGTATTAATGGTTAAAAAATGAAGTGAAGATCGTAAGAAAGAAGGGAAGCAGCAGGGAAGAACTTTTCAAATGTTGAGGGAGCCAATTGTTCAATTTAGTATTCAAAATGCAATCATATGGACAGTACTTTTGGAAATAGTTCCCTTATGGCTGGGATTTCACCAACGCCTTCCTGACCTTATTGAATTGCTAAAAAATAATATCAAAAAGTGTTATTTCCTCCTCTGATTCCTCTAGGAGATGAGGACCAAGTCAGAGTCCAAGTGACTTAAGCCAAAGTGGCTCTTCTTGGTTCTTATGTCATTGTTCTGGACTCAGGCCAGCTCTTGACAGTGTACCATCTGCACTCTGTCCTCAACATCTCTCCCTCTTGTCTCACTTGTTCCCAGATTGTGAGATTCTCAACTCTTTCTCTTGACTCATCTCCCAATGTAGATGATTAGCCTTATTCTAATGGCAGAAAAAAGTGTGTAGATCATCAGGAAGCCTGAAGTGTCCAAACAGATCTATGTTTGGCTTCGAAAAGTATGATGCACATTTTCACAGAACCACATAATTGTCTCTCTGTTCAGAAAACGGAGAATTCTTTTTCTAAGTGGCAATCCAAATTTGGAGACCACAGCTGCTTGTTGCAATTGAGTCATTGCCTTTCAAGAGCCCAAAATATCCCCTATCATAGTCTCTCTAGTTCACAGGAGAAGAAGAGCAGGGGTGGGGAGGAGCAAAGAACAAATGGAGAAGAAAGGTAACATGGAATATCTTTTATCAAAGAGATCATAATTAAAAAATAAGCTGAACGCTGGTGGCTCATGCCTGTAATCTTAGCTACTCAGGAGGCTGAGATCTGAGGATCACAGTTCAAAGCCAGCCTGGGCAGAAAAGTCAGTGAGAGTCTTATCTCCACTTAACCACTAGAAAACTGGAAGTGGCGCTGTGGCTCAAGTGGTATAGTGCTTGCCTTGAGCTGAAGAGTTCAGGGACAGCTCCGAGGCCTCGAGTCCAAGCCCACAACTGACAAAAAACAAAAAACAAAAAAAAAACCCTCAACAACGATAATAATAGCAATAAGAGCTAAAAGTCAATAGGAATTAACAAAATAATGCCTCATGTGACTCTTCTAATCTCCATAAAAAGAGTATCTTCATTTTCTTTTCTTTCTTTTTATTGTCAAGGTGATGTACAGAGAAATTTCAGTTAGGTAAGTAAGGTAATGAGTGCATTTCTTGTTAACCTGGTAACCCCTTCATTTTACAGACAAAAAAACCCCATAATTGAATGGCCACAGCCACACAGATAAGTCTAAATTCTAACTCATACCGTCAGCCTTGAAGCCCCATGCTTTAATTCCCTTCAAACAGTCTCACTACAGATCTATCAAAGCACTTTCACAGAGCTCTATTTTGTTAGGAAATCTGCCCTTTCCCCACCACAATGGGCCCTAGGGGGTGATAGTGGGCATCAAGACTTCCCTTAATGTCTACTAAGAAGAAATACAGACTCCATTTCAAGCTTTTGGATGGGGTTTCCAGACATATAGTCATTAAAGCAGTCAATAGTTTGTACTTGTTACCTCTGTTTTTCAGGGTGCCCCCTTTTCACCCAGAAGACAGAAGAAACAGCTGAGGAAAAATTTCAACAAGGGGCTGGGAAGTTGGCTCAGTGGTAGAGTGCTTGCCTTGCATGCATGGGGTTCAATTCCTCAGCACCACATAAGCAGAAAAAAGCTGGAAGTGGCGCTGTGGCTCCAGTGGTAGAGCACTAGCCTTGAGCTGAAGGGCTGAGGGACAGCGCCTGGGCCCAGAGTTCAGCCCCATGACCGACAAAAAAAAAAAAAAATTCAACAATCATAGTTCAGTAATCCTGTTCAAGTCCTAGCTCTACTTTGTCCAAGATAGGCACATGGTAGGCTATGGTGACTGACTCATCATGGGCATTCTGACAACTGGGTCCACGCTGTTTCCTAATGGAAAAACTACCCAGTATGGCCAAATTTAGAGAAGCCATGATCCAGCAACAGTTCCAGTAGATACTCAGTAAAGTAGCATCTGGCAAGAGCTTTGAAAAGGGCAATTAGGAAAGAAAACTAGTTGGAGAGAACTATAAGGCCCACTAAATGAGATTAGAAGGATGCAACTGTAACACATTGTACATTTTAAAAAACCACAGAAATATTTTGGGTCGTATATGTTTTTCCAGAGCCTTATTCTTGTTCTGATCTACTTACTCAGCTGGCACTCTACTGCTTGAGCCATGGCTCCTTCCTGACTTTTTGCTAGTTGTTTTGGAGGTGGAGTCTCACAGATTTTTCTGGCAGAAATCATGACCTCTAGACCTCATCCAAAGTAAATAGGATTGCAATTGTAAGCCATTGGCCCCTGGGTAGTTTATGTCTTTGCTTCTTGAAACTTTATGAGTCTTGGTAACTGCTTCAGTGAACAGAATATGACTGAACCAATGCTCTGAGACTTCTGAGAGTGGGCTAGGAAAAGTGGCATAGCTTTGTGAGGATCATATATCTATAGTTTTGATGATGGCTCTGTGTGTATGTGTGTGTGTGTGTGTGTGTGTCTGCACTTGTGACACACAAGTGCAGACACACACACACACACACACACACACACATTGGACATCTTATTTTAAAGCTAGGGGAGGAGGCCTAGTCTACAGAGAGAATTCATACATAGGTATTCTAGCTCTCAGCCCCAACTAAGGTTCTATCTGACAATTGACATCTGTTGTAAAGATATGTCATTCTTGGCTGATTCTTGGACATCTAGGAATAGAGTAAATAGTTCTCAGGAATGTCAATGTTCAAGAGCAGAATGAATGTGATCATTTTCTAACCCACGATAAATCCGTGTGAAGAAGAAAATAACAAAGTAAATCTGGCCTTTTTTTTCTTTCTTTTTTTTGACCAAACTCAATTTACAAATATTAAATTACAAATATTAATTACAAATATTAAAATAAAGAAGCACCTCTCATCCCTCAAAAACCAACTGAAAATTGTGCTTAATTTTGAATGGAAGACCAAGTTGGAAGGATGAAGAAAAATTTAATTTTTTAAACATTGTTAGGTTTTCCACATGGAGTCTTTGTGTTATTTTTTGCATTAAGTTGTAATAATTATACATATTTATAGGGTACTGTGTGGCATTTCAATATGTGGGTACTGGTGATCAAATAGAGGAAACGAGCCTTTTCATCTTTATTATTCTTTATGCTTGGAGCCTTTGACCACATAGCTTCTAATTATTCACAAATTATGTAAGGGTTTTTGTAAACTATAGTTGCCCCACTATGCTGTAGTGTTCTAGAACTTATTCCAACTAACTGTCTAACGATGTGGTGCTACTCATTACATATCTTTCCTCTTTCTCTCATTCTCCTCTTCCTAGCCTGTGGTAGTTACTATTCAACTCTTTCTAGATTGAAATAAACAGTTTTAGCTCTCACATATGAGAGAGAACCTGCCTGCAGTATTTGTCTGGCTTATTTCACTTCACAGGTATCTTCCAGTTTTGTACATTTTTGCCACAGATGACCGTTTTTCATTCATTTTACAAAAGAAATCACAGAATCCAAGCTACTCAGGAGACTGAATTCTGAGGATCATGGTTCACAGCCATCCCAGGCAGGAAAGTCCATGTGACTCTTATTTCCAAACAACCAGCAAAAAGGCAAAGTGTAACTATGGCCCAAGCGTAGAGCACTAGTCTTAAAAAAAAAAAAAAAAAAAGCTCTCAGATAGCACACACGCACGCACACGCACACACACACACACACACACACACAACTTGAATCCATTGTGGAAACAATGATACACAATTTATCCATTTCCTTTATCCATCATCTATCTTTGGACAGTTGACACCTACATCAATTCTATGTCTTGACTATTGTGAATAACGCCTTATCCACATGGGAAGACAGGATGATTTCATTTCCTTTGGCTATTTCCTTTGGGTACCCCATCATAAGTGTGATGGCTGGGTTACATGAGAATTCTAGTTTTTGAGGAACCTCCACCCATTTCCCTATTGGCTGTGTTCATGAATTCACATTCCCAGCAACAGTGTGTCAAAGTTCCCTTTTCGCCACATCGTCACCAGCATCTGTTAAAGTGGAATTTTTAAACCTTTATATAGCATGATCAAACCCTTCTGTTTCTGAAAAACTAATGGCTCACTACCAGCTGTAAGGGAATTCTTGACCACACCCATCTGAACTGCACTATTTTACCCTTTGCCTCCAAGGGATCCCCACATGCCAAAGTCCAGCTGTCACTCTGTGACCTTACCCTGGCCTTACCCCCAGACTCACTCCTCTTGTTCCCCAGATAGTTTTACTCACTTTCTGAATTTTCCTAATCTGGTCAGAGAGTGTGTCTAACAGGCGGGTTTTCAGGAAGTCCATCGCCTTCACCACCCGGCCATCAATGTAGCAACTGGAATAAAAATAAAATAAGAAATCAGATACAATCTTCAGCAGGGAACTAAGTCTACTTGTCTAGCCAGAGATATCTCTCTGTTGCCTGTGTAAACAGCTTACGGTTCTGCCTTGGTTTTCATATCCAGAGAGGCTATTCAAGCAAATAATCACTTTTCTCTTTTCCAGTTCTATTCCATTGTGGGCTAATACTAGGTTTTCAGTGTCTTGTTTGTTTGTTTTTTCCAACTCTTCTCATGTGAAAACCCATAGCTTGCTGCATGGAAATGGACAGGTATTTCAAAATACAAATTGGATAATGGGGAAAAGTATGTTTTTATTCTCTTGGGCAAGTGACTTGGGCCTCATCCCATACCTACCGCTATCCCTACCTTAAAGTAGTAAAGGAATGTGAGCGTTTCAACAGAATGATCAAATATTTATTTAGATTTCTCCATCTTTAAATAAGGAAAGAAAGATCAAGACAACAATCTCATGCAGTGTAGGTCTTCAGCTCTATCTAGCAAAATTTCTTAGAATGTACCCCCATCAATTACCTCTAGGATGAATAAATGTGTGAACAAATGACCCAACAAAGAAGTAAATAAACGGTTCAACTCAAAGCCTAAGAGCCTTCCCTTGAAATAGTAAAGAGCTGGTGTTCATTGGTTTCTGCTTTGGGTCTGGTTTTCATTAGTAGCTTAAGTGAAACATCAAGTTGTGCTGACATTATGTTGGGAACATTTGACTAAAACAGGCCCATCCAGCTTTATGGAGACCTCCTTTGTGAGTCTCTTCTGAAGACCACGCTTGAGACTGGCTGGGATCAGGTGACCTTCATTAACCCAAATCTCTCCTTACCTATTCTGAATAGAATCAGTTTTTAAATGCTGGTGCTTTGTGGGTGCCTATACTAGTGTACTCAGGTCTCATTTGGCTGATGGCTAATAACAGATTTTCTCATTTCTTAATAAAATATCTGCCCTTAGTACATACCTTAGAGCTATGTGAGAATGCCACTTACTGTTAAATTCCCATATCAATACCAACATATGATGTATTGGAATGGTTAAAACTTTTTATTGCATATAGGTATGCTCCTTGAAGTCAGAGGAGGAGATAACTCAGCCTTCCATTGGCTTCTTCTGAAACTCAAGAATATGGTTTTGAAGCCAGGCATATCTGAGGTCAATTTCTGACCTGTATTTTCATGATATTGCACAGCCACTTGGACCTCAGGATTGATGATCAATTAAGGGAATATTGAGCCTAAAGTGCCTGGAACACAGTAGCCACTCAACAACTTTTGGTTCTTTTCTAACGTGCCTATTTTCAGATCACAAATTAGGGATTATAAGAAATAGGCAACTGATTTAGGAAATTACTTATCAATACAGAATCCTTAAAAAGTAGAATTTCTGTTATAGGGTCACACAGTTTTAAAATTATTTGATGATGATCTATATTAGGGATTAAAACAGTGATGCCATTTCACCTCATCCATGGTACAGATACTACAGTTAGATTCCATGAGCATTTATTATGTACAACACACCCAGTGTCAAGCATACTCACTGCATTAGAATTTGAACAACCTTTTCTGTTAGTACTTCCCTATTAGCACCTCGGCTTCTTTAAGTTGAACTAGAAGGCACATCACATGAAAGACAGATGTACTGGGATGGAGTAGCTATGTGTTATATGGTCTAAGTATATGACAACATACTATTATTTAATAAAATTTATTATAGTTCCTTCTTTGTTCTTTGTTTGTTTTCCCAGTGACTATACTAAACATCAGTGTTTATAATTTTGGCTTTTCAACACCTATCATTTAATACTTTCTGAGATAAAGATGCCAGATGCAAGTTTTTTGCTTTTGACTACTTCAACTAGCCAACCATGGCTCAGGGCCAAAGACCCTTTTCTCTTCCCTTCTTTTCTTTTGTTCCTTTTCTTAAATTACATAGAATCTGGAGTCAAAACAAAAAACAAAGAAACAAAAAACCCTTGTTTACTCTGTGTTTCCACTTAATGCTTGCTATTGGATTCCTTTTTCTTTGATTGTTTTTATACAAAATCCAAACAAATATTTTCACTGATCAAATAGGGAAAGGTGATGATAACAGAATTTAGCACATTAAAGATGTTAATAACAACCTATCAAATTTGTCATTCTTTTTTTGGGGGGTGTTGTTAGTCATGGGGCTTGTACTTGAGGCCTGGGTGCTGTTGCTGAGCTCTTTTGCTCAAGGCAAGCATTCTATCACTTTAAGCCACAGCTCCACTTCTGCTTTTTCTGGTGGTTAAGTGGAGATAAGAATCTCAACAAATGTTGCTGAGAAGGCTGGCTTTGAACCTTTATCCTCAGATCTCAAACTCCTGAGTAGCTAGAATTACAGGCATGAGCCATCAGCACCTGACATCTGTCAGGTCTCTTAAAGGCCTGAGGTAGCAGAAACTGACTGAAAGACAATGGGGTGGGTGGGCGGGAGGAGCCTCTGTAACTGTAGGATTTGACAGAGAGAGATACAGGGCAGCAAGAATAGATTCTGGATTCCCAGCAGGTAGGAGCAGAGGGAAATCTGTTTGCTGTTACTGTGCACTGTGGCTAATGTTCTATTTTTCTGTACTCAGGAACAGTTCCGTTTCTTCTTCCTGTAACTCCAATCCACACTTTGGCTTCTGCCTTTTAAAGCCCATTCTTGGCCCCGTTTAAAACCTAATAAGTGGGATTCCATTTTTATTCCTGAGGTCTGTGAATTGTATTGGTGGGGAAACCAGCAGACAAGGCTTCCTTGCTAGTGCAGGTGATAAATGATCTGGCACTAAAGAAGGGAGCACACATTTAACAGTACAAGTGATAGGCTGTGAAGAAATGTCTTATGAAGCTTCTTTCTATTGAGGGTGAGGAAGAGAGTAAGGACAACAAGGAGCTTAAGAGAGAAAAAGTTTTGGAGAAGACTAGTGCCAAGGACACATAGGCTGGTGAGATCTGTGTACAGATTGTCAAGGAAGATGAAAGATTCAGCATAAGATACCAAATATGCTCAGAATGTGGAGGATGAAATACACAATAGATAGTAGTAGCTAAGAGAAGACATTACAGAGAATAATTGAGTTGGCCAATGTTGACCTAGGGCTCTTTTTCAGCATCTGAATGACTGATGCAGCCATGGCAACAGATGAGCTCTCTAATCAAATAAGGGAAGCTTACAGAGATGTCAAAGGCCCTTTAAAATGCTTCCTAAATATGACCCTGGGCATTGCCTCCAGCTTTGACCCAGCTAAAGATCCCTTTCTCCCTTGCCTGACCATCACATCTTGCTAATGACCTCTAGTCACCTCTGCCTGTGTCACATTTGGGTATTAAAGGTACATCTGGGTATCTTATAACCTTCTAATAAATTCTGTCTGAGTCCAATTCACATTTGTGTATCAAAGGAATTCCCATATTATACTGGGAAGTTCCATCAACTTTCATCTGCAACCTTAAATTTGTATTTTTCTTTTGTTGTAGAAATTGGAACTTTGGTCACCTGAGTTTTGCAACAATTTTAAGAAATGGGGTCAGTTACCTATGTGATAGAATCTAATAAATCCCTAAACCTCTTTCCTTAAAACTATTGGACAATTAGCCTGGTGTACTTAGCCTTTGCCAAGGTGACATTATAAGAAACCATTTGGCGTTGCTAATCTGTGGTAACTAAAAAAAAAATCCTTCCGTGACGGATGAAGCTATGGGCCAGAGTGTTCTCCACAGTGATGGGACCTATATAGCATATTGATTTGGACATGAAAGAGGTGAAGAGTCTGTGGGAACTATTTGAAATTGCTAAGCATGGCGTGATGGTGATTTTTATGGAGAGTGGAGTGCTGGTTGAAATCAGGACCTTGTACATGGTAGGCAAATGCTCTACAATTGAGCCACATCTTCAGTTTCTGTGATGGTGACTTCTAACAAAGGAATTATGAATAGATTCTAGCTGCCCAGTAACCTGTGGGCAACTCTCTCTACTTTTCTTTCTCATGGGACAGATGAAGATATTCTTGGTGACCTACCAGTCCCACAAGAGTTAATTAATTAATTAATTTAGTAGTGGCTACAAAGTATTTTGAAGACAAAATAAATCAGAGGACAAGAAAGGAGGTGGGAGTGAGGATGGAAGGAAATCATCAACTAGAGATGCTCTAGCAACTTTCACATAAACCCTGGAAGAATAAGTTTTAGAATCACTTAGACTAACACTTTTAGGCAAACCTGAGTTCTCCTCCAAACTCCCTTGAAATCCCTGCATATCTCACACCACAAGTACATGAGCTGCTGAACCAAAATCTAAAGCCGAGAAAGGCCAGATTATAATACCGCTGAACCTTTGGACAAGGTCAAACCTTCAGACAGGGTCAAAGGGTTTGCCTGCTCAGTGCCAGCAGCAGCAATGCTGCCTCTAGATTGGCAGGGCATACAGCAAGGTGGTGGCAAGAATGCTGGAGTGGGCGAAGAAAATGGAATCACTTATCAATTCAGTTACCAATTTTCTCGTCCATGTGAAGTTAAAAATTTTCAGAACAATATACGAAACAAATGCACATTATAGAAAAATTAGAAAATGAGCCCAAACTAAATAGAAATACAATGTGAAGAATCACCTAGATGACCAATATTTAAAGACTCATTGTTAACACTTTGCTGTACAATCCCTTGCATTTTTATAGTACATATGAAATTTCCTGTAATTAGCTATTCAAGTCTATTCCAGAGCCTATTAAAGTAGCATATAAACGTGAAACGGCCCCATCGGAGACATCCTACCCCATATTACTAGCATACTGATAATGATGGAACACTAGGGACTCTCAAGTCAAAGCATCTTACTCTTATTTTAATTATATTCCAAGTATTTAGCCATCCAGGCTTGCACCCCAATGTCATCCCACCCACCTCCTTCTCGAGACCCTTGGATTCAGTCTTCAGGATTGTGCTATAATTAGCCACTTATGCCCATTAGCCTCTTAAAA